GGGGGGGGGGTCTTCAGCTTCCTAGCGAAGGAGAGTAAGCATAACAGAGCTCACCTTAGAAAACAATCTGTGTTGCCAGCTGGCCTGCCGTGGGACATTTCAGATGTTTTCAGTATTGATAGGCAAATGAGGGTAATGAACATCTTTCAACCCCTCTCTAATGGAAAGTAAGTATAGGCCTCACTGGAGTACGGATTAATACAGCCATTGATCAGTGCATACACAAATCACACCAATATTTTGCTTAATAGCACTGAGTAAAATAGGCCTCAGTAAACATGAAACTAGGCATATCACATATGGCTTGCACAGAAGTGTTATAAGGTAACTTGTTCATCCACTTTGGAAAGCCAACAGCAAGGGAATTGATAAGACACACATACAGGACACCAAATCAAGGATCAGAGTGACCTGGTAAACAGGTTTCCGTATGTGAGAAAGTTGCACTAACTCATAAGAATTGGGATGGGGATCATGTCACCCAAAGTTTTGGTAACTGACAAGATCTAGAATCTGTATGCTGTGAACAGGAAGTTGCTTTGATCAGTGTGACCTAAGAACCCTTGATACTTTGTATTGGGCTTAGGGGGTGCATCCACTGTATATTATGCCTGGACCATGCCTTCAAATAACCTGGCAAGCACTGGGTTCTGGCTGATCATGGATACTAGTGTTTTGGCTTGTGTGTAGACAATAAACCTGGAGCTCTTTGCCACTAAGAATCAAAACCTCTTTCTCTTGTAACAATGAAGTTGTTGGGGTACAGCATCACAGACTCTGTCCTGACGGCTAATACACAGATCATCCACATTGAGGGAGCCTGATGTGATCCTAAATAATACTAATAGTCAGAAAACAACACTGATGGAGTTGGCCCAGACGATATTGCTAACTCCTTAAGTCCTACAGCCGTTAGAGTTAAGTTACGAATTATGTCCAAAGATACTTGATCTGAATTTGTGATATATCTACAAAATAATTTCAATTTCAATAAATATTCCTAAAAGTTCTGAAATGCATATTAGTAATGCTACCCTGTTGAGAACATACAAGTTTGATTGTGTGACCCTTTGTGCAGTGGGAGTTTAAAGCATAGTGCACAAGTTAAGACTTTATGTTCAGCTAAAACCCTCTCTAGCTGATCTAAAAGTGTGCCAGCAGTGTTTCTCTATGAAGTCCCATCCAAAGCAACAGTACGTTTGTTCAGGAAAGGGTGAAAGCTGAGAGATGCTAATAGAGGTCTTTGTGGAGACCTGTCGCTATGCCTCAAATCCTGTTCTCAAATCTCTGACTAGTGTCTCATCTGTAAAGGGTCTTCTGTCCACCCAATTAATTTTGCCCTGCAGAACTGGAGGAACTCCAAACCTCTTCTCTTCACATTACTTAGGAGAGGAAAAGTAATCTGGGGAGACGCATACAAAAAAAAAAAAAGTATATGGAAGGTCACACCATTAAAACTACACAAACACAGACAGAACTATTTTCTTTATTATAAAGATACACTATGAGGAACAAATCTGAATGTATACTGAAGCTTGTAATGGTACATGCCAAAATGTACAGTACTATACATAAAAGTGCATTGTCACAACAGATTAACAGTACATTTTTCTTCCAGAACTGTGTAAATTCAACTTTTTTTGTTCTTTGAGAATGGAAGGAATGCAATGGCAATGCAGCTATACAAGAGCAGGGAAAATTTCATGAAAATGCAACAATATAAGAGCAAGGAGGAACGCAATGGAAATGCAACAGTACAAGAGCAAGGCTAAAGCTCCTCTAAAATTTTAAAGGCACTTTCACATGTACATACTACAGATGTACATAGACACAATTAGGTAACAGTCAACAAGCAGGCAGCTACCAGTACTGCAATTTATCAAACTGACAGTAAAGGACAATACTGATTTGATTAGGTGTGCAGGAGTTACCCTTTAGTGCGTCTGTAGTTGTATCAGTCTTTCCTGTTACATATCCACTTACTATACTTTTAAGTATCTATAATAACCATCAAACTACACATTTAACTTGTGTGAATGCTCTAAGTGGATGCATTCACTAAATGCACTGTTTCTAATATTTTCTTTTGCTAAACAATTTCTAATATAAGCATTATGGAGTCCAGTACAGTTATTTAAACATACAAAATTCCCTATGTAATTTAAAGATACAGGTATCCATCTCAATTATGCCACATAGGTTATTTAAAAAATACTAGACAAGAACTGCACGTAAATGAAAGCTGAAATTCCAGTTTGTTCCACTGATCCTAGTAAATTTGGAAACTATTTGATAACTTCTAGCTCTTGACAGGTGAACATAACTATAGACTAAATTTAGCCTATAGCTGAGACTGGCCTCAGTTAGAACCTTGCAATGGAACTTACAACTACAGGGCACAGCCAAGAAGTGTCTAATTAAACATGAACTTGACAGATTGTTACACTGTGTGCACAGTTGTTACCTCAGTAGATCTGACTGGTGCCTCACGGTTCACCATGGTAGCTAAGAATTTAAATATCTGACAGCCCCTCCCCAAACAGATGTGCTTATAGATTCCTTGATCCCCTAGTTGGGGTGCAAGTACCAGGAACAATGGGAATGACCCAGATAGCCTTGTTCTTGAATGTACTTTATGGGATATTTGTCGTCATCTGGGCTCTGTGTTCCCTTATCTGTAATTAGCAAACCCCAGCAGCAATAATTTTCAAATGACAATCAGACATGGTCTCTGTCATCTTACCTAGATTCCAATACGCTAACCAAACCTTTGTAACGAGTCATTAACATTCCTCTCTCCCCAGTTAGCTTTTGGTATAGTGAGTGGTACAACGTAAAATGTTCCATGGAAAGAATGGTAAGATGAAAGGAATGCTATGTAGAAAGACAACCTGCATGTGAAACCAGTTTTATTTTTATAGCAGAATATCAGCTGGATTTTTTGTTTCGGCCATGGTATTTTAGGTAATAGCAACCAGTAAGATATTCCTTCTTATAAATCAATCTTCATGGTTGCCTAACCTGCTGCAAATTACCCAACAGACTGGGCAGGTAGCATTGAAAAAAATATTCACAGAAATAATGTTATGGCTTAGTCTACAATGTGCAAACAGCTGTACAATTAGTTTACATGTAACATAGAAAACAACGGAGCACTAAGCAAAGTCAATGAAGGCTTCACTCATATATGGACATGAGGGAGAAAAAGTGGTTCTGGTAAACTTTATTCACATTGATCCTAGGCAGTAGAACATAAAACATCTATCCTTTGACCAAGCCCCTGCATGATTGGAAGGAGTCAGTCCAGCTTCCAAGAGGAACTCACTTTAATAAGTGTAACTGCATATTGTTACTGTGTAGGCTAACTAATGAAGCTACAGCAGCTGGAAACTGTAATTATTTCAACTTAAGTTATTTAAATACCAAGTAATAAGTTCCGAGGAACATTTTCTTGAATAATAGTTTAGCGGATTCATTTACTCTCTTGTTTTAGTTCTGCACAGAGATCCACAGATTTGCATGCATCCAGATCCTCGGCTCACTGAACTGTAAACTTTAAGTGAATTTAGCATTTGTGAAAGGTGTCTGATAGCCCCAAGAACTGAAGTTCTAGCTTCACTGCAAAGGGACATCAGGTGACTGCATTAGAAACTTCTCCACACTATCCTGGCAATATACTTTAACCCTGACCAGAAGTGATACTATATTAGTGAGAGTAAAGCAGCCTGCATACCAATTCAGTAGACTGCTAGCAAGGATACTTGAATACATTGTGCCAATTGTGAAGATGTGTGTGGCATTTGGTTTTATTTTTGTCTTTTAAATAATTCTGTGGACTGAAATTTCCTGTCCATTACGCAAGTCCTTTAATAAGCCTCACATACTAACTTCCATTTTTCACAAGCCAGTCTGGGATGTGAACCAGTGATCTAGTGATGGCTCCACATCCCCTTATGAATCTTTTCATATTACCTTTGCACAGGAGCATTTAAGTAAACTACAGTAAGACCGTGAAATATGGTACAATGTGGGAAGCTATTTGTGATTTGTGTTGCTTTTATTACAAATGGTGCAGCATCAAGTTTTCAAGTAAGTCTGTGTTTTGTTTTTATGAGACAATTGTCCAGTTTTTTAAAAATTGAAACAATAGAAATTACCAATGCCCATGTTAATGTAGCTAGTTACATTCAAAAACACTGAAAAACAAAACCTCTCCAGTTATAAACATGAGTTATGTTATGGAACCCCTGACTTCTATCACTAATCCATTCCTTTCAGTAACATGGCCCCCTCTTACCTTATGAGGGTTGCCTAGCTTTTTACATTGTGCAAGACTTGTCCATTGGACCCTGGGAAGGAGGGGAAGGTCCTATGCTTGGATTTGTTTTTGGAAGAACAATGGGTTTTGGCCTAAGGGCAGGGGGCTTTAACTGCACTCCCATTCTAGGAGCTACCATGGGCTTGAAAGTACTCATTGTATCACTGGAAGAACTAGTGCTACGTCGAATCTGAGGCTCAGTGCTTCTTAATACAACACTGTGGAGAGGACTTAGGGATTCTGTCGAGGTGGCAGGGGTGGGAGAATTTTTCATTTGTTCCAATGTATCCAGCACCACGTCCGGGGCATGCTTTGCCGAGCTCTGGCGTTCCAACTCACGAAGTTCGTTCAGAGCTGTATTCATTGTCTCTTCAATATCCTGGTTACAGCAGAAAGAGAGAATGAAAGCAGCAAGTTATTAAAACGAATATTGACTACAAAGGAGGCAGGGAGGTCTGAAAAAATGCTTGACTTAAGTTGTAAGCCATCTACTTTCATTACTGGATGATATTAAAGTCTGTTTACACTACAGTACCAAAAAATGACCTTAAATGATAAAATGTCTGGCTGAACAAAGTGAGAGGATGTCTATAATCTGTTCCATGATGCTTCAGGGTCAAAATTCAGTCAAGCTAGTAAAAACATTTTCTTGTTGTTTAAATGACTGCGTCCATAAAACCAGCAATCATTTCAAACACAAAAAAAGAACTGTAATGTGATCAGGCCCTTGGGTACCACTGCATCTGCTCTACAACACCCATTTTGCTGACTTGAAATTTGCCTTTATACAACAAAGACACTCCAACAGAGACACAGACTGAATCTTTTAAATAGCTACTCAAATACCCTGCAGTAAGAAACCTGCTACTGTACCAAAAGCAACTGTACTGTGACTGCACACCTTTGGCGGTCACCTACTGTTCTACACTTGAATGGTTAAGAAGAATGATCGAGTAATTGCATCCTATACTCAACAACAATCAGACCTTGAAAGAAATATTCCCTGTCCCCTTGCTCCTGGCTTTCACACAACCCTTTAACCTTGCTCAGCTCATCATCAGAAGCAAACTCCCTGCTGTGTCAAGTGGGACATAGACTTGCCTTAACAACAAATACAAAACCTGTCAAAACATCTCCCTTGCTACAACAATCAAAGCCCTCCACCAGAATAGCCCCATCAGAATTCATGGATCCTATATATGTGTATCCCAAAACGTGTCACATCTCATCCAGTGCACCATATGCTCTCATTAAAATTAGGGTGGGTGAAACTAGATTAAAACTATGCATCAGAATAACTGATCACAAGAAAAAGAAAGGATCGGCACATATTTTGGAGGATACTTTTCACAGAACAACCACACGCTTTCTGACCTCACTATCCTCATCCTCAAGGGAAATTCATAGAACACCTTCAAATGTTGAGCTTGGGAACACAAATTTAATTAGGTGGCTGCATACTAATAACCAAGGTCTAAAAACCAATACTGATTTAATGACATACTATAATCTACCTGACTTGTCATAATCATTCTTCACTGTATAGGTGAAAATGAAGTTTTTTTCCTTTTGAAAGGTCTTTTTGTAAACAAGCTGTCCTTTCTTCTGTGATCTGTTTGTCTGCTACCCCTAGGAATTTACTTCAATTTCACAACCCTGCAGACTGTAAATTTTTATATAAATGTATATATTTTGTAAAAGACTATGCCTGTTTTTTCCATCAGACTTAGGGAAAAATGCATTGCATTCAAAAGCTTGTCTAAGTCTGTCCCATATATGCAGTAGGTCCAATGAAAGATATCCACAAAAATCCTTGCCTCTCACATATTTCCTAGACAATCACAGCTTACAATATCACTCCCACACTATAAGAGTACAAATATTTGTTGGTATGCTGGCAACATGCACTTTTAAAAAAGTTTGAATCTTCTATCCGTTCACATATCAACAACTATTACAATTATAGCCCATCTGCTGCTAACTATTTAATTGGCTATATCTCTTATCTCATCCTAAACTATTCAGGATCAATATTCTAAAATAGGGGTTTTTAAACAAAGGTAAAACTGAAGTTGGAAAGCAATATCAAAGCTATTCAAAGCTGCCTTAACAGATTTAGATGAACACTAAATACAGTGCCTTCCAATCTGTAAATTCAATGGAAGAACGGCATGCGTATTGGAATTAAAATTAGAGACATTTTGAATGATTATGGCCTTCATTTTCTAAAAATGCTGCATATGCTTTAGAAATATTGGTAGCAACAAGTTCTCCTTTTTTGCTCATTCAGTGTGTTTTTACATATAAATGATGTGTCCATAGTGTCCTTATCATTGTAGCTTTATGTTTCAGGTGGAAAAAGCATGATACTAGATACAATTCAACAGTAATTTTGCAAAATGCTGTTTAACAAGATCCCTTTTTAAAGAATAATTCCTGTTACTTATTTTGCATATTTGAATTTAAAGAACATCTGCTAAATAAACAAGCCAAGATTCGGTCAGTGGTGTGGAGGGACAAGTGGGTTATATAAAAAAAAT